TACAAAACTGATAATGATAAAAGTTAAGGGATAAAAATAGCAGCTAAAAATAGTTAAAATTTGAAGTTAGAATTTTAGCAAAAAAATATTAACATTTATATTTCAAAATGAATTATTGCAAAAAGCTTGCAAGGATTTGATGAGCTGAAATTCGAGCGTTGAAATAAATAAGTTGAAAAATTTTTACGCTCAAGTCCAAATTAACTTTAAAAACAAAAAATTTTTGTTATAATATTTTGAAAATATTATTTTAAACGAAAACAACATTTATCAGGGCAAAGTTTTATGATTAAGATAAACTGATTAAAATTTGTAGGGAAACACGGTTAAGTAAGTAATATGAGTGCGATTAACTTATTGAAATAATTAGTCTTCGTTTTTATTTAAATATTAAAAAAAATTAATCATATTTAGGATAAATTAAGATTAAAAATTGTTAACAAACCATTATTATTTTGATTAGTTGATACTGTATTAGCATCTAGTGAATTAACAATCGCAACACTAGAATTGCTATCCTCTGCGTCATTTAAACGTGATACGAGCAACTTTGGAGGTTGCTTGATTGCATCACATACATTATCGTATATACTATCATTCATTAAAGAAGAAGTATCATTACTTAAGTTCAAACCATTAATAGCTTTTGCATGACCTCTGGGTGATGAGAATCGATGTAGAAATTCTAAAACAAAAACAAGCACACGTAGCAAAATGTTCAGCAAATACAAATATGCATGTATATTTTTTCTTTTTAACTTCTAGCAAATTATTCTCAAAACTTGAACTTTTAACTTTGTTTGCAATCCAAAAAACTTTTTGATAATTTATTAGAATAAATTTTAGCAGCTTTATTTTTTGCAGTAAAAGTTTTTCAGCTAACTCTTTTTCAATTTCTTACAAACTTTTGCAAAAAATATTTGCAGTGCTGAGAAATTTTCAAGCGTTTCTTGAAAATAAATATAAAAATTCAATTTCTTAAAATAAATATTGTAAAAACACAAAATTTTATATAGGTATTTGTATTTTTTGAAACAACTACTCTCCACTTGTTTTGAATTAAATTTACTTTATATACTAAATAACTCTTCGTTACTACTCATAACCTAACTTTAATCATAACAAATAAATTTGAACGATTTGCTTTTTCATACCCAAAAAAGAGAGTAAAAGTTAATAATCTGACCCACAAAGCTTACTTTTATCAACTGTGTTAACTAAACTAAGCTCTTTTTCTTTAAAATTCCAATACAAAATGAATAAAATTAAAACATTATTAATGAGAGCAATAATGAAATTATTGCAGTAATATTGTGAAAGATCGCATATTAAATAGTTATCAATTATTCGGATCTAAAATGGCACAGCATTGAATCACCGATGATACAACAGTTATGAGTAATTTTTAGATACAAAAACATTTTTGATTCATCAAAAATTACTGTTCATAAATTACTGCCAATTCCAGACTGGAATTTATATTTATTTATTCAAATGTTAATTTTAACAAATGCAAATTAATTAACCTCGAATATTTTGCAGAAATCGGATCATCTATAAAGTTGCTAGAATGACAGGAAAAGAATAGAAACGCTGCCAATTGCATAAGCTAATAACTAATCGAAAAGTAAATACAGGAAAAATTGACTCGCATCATATCAGTATTATCAATGCTCTCTCATAAATGATCATTATTATTATCAATAAATAATGATTACCATTATTACTATCAGTTTTGCAATTTTTATTACTATTGTTATATTATTATTATCAATATTATCATTTCGATAACATTAGTGATGCATTAATGCATGCACAGACTGTTCACTCATTTGTATAAGCAGTAATTTTCTTCGTGGAAAGCTCATAAAACTTGATAAATTAAATTTATTTTCTTCACTTTTGTTCTCATAAAAATTATGCCTCAGATATTTCAGAAAAATGATAATCATTGCATATTACAATTAATGTTGCTATTGTTATTATTATTATTATCATTATTATTATTATTATTTATTATCATTATTATTATTATTATTAATGATTGCCATTATTATTTCTATTGTTAGTAATAATATTATTATAGCAATATTTGAAAACCAAATGTCTTTAATTATAATCAAATATTTCTTCCATTTTCATGCAGAAAAATGCTTTTAACAATTATACGCGATTCTTATAATAATTGCGCGCCTTATTTACACGTTTTCAGGTTTACTGCTTTAGTCTTTTGACTAGATCCATTCCATTCAGTAAATACATCAAATGTTTTATCTTGACTACATTCAAAGTCAATCCCTTGTGCAGTGTGAGTATGGAAATTACTTTCATTGCTAGTAATAAGCAAGAAATTGCAGCGTTAATTTCTTTGGTAGTTCAAATTAAATATTGCAGTTGTGGGAAGAGTAAGTGAAAAATCTTGCGTATTTGCTATCCATTAATTCGCTATCCCCTAGTCTTATCTAATTAGAAAACATTTCCTTGTGAGTGAAGCGAGTAAAGAATACTTTTCTTGCAAAAATTATCAATCTTATATTTGCATTAATAAAATCATTAGAAATTATTTGTAATAATTTCTGATAATGATTGATTTCAATTAGATAATTGGTAAGTTTACGAGATTTAAAGCAGTTTCAAATTATATAAAATGATTTGAGTAAAATTGTTTGCGTTAAAATACTCTAAAATAAAAATTGTAATAATAAACAAACCATTTACGAATAATACTCGATTTTGCGATGAATCTGACTGAATTTTACGTGGAAGCACAGATGATGCAGTTGCAAGTGAGTTTTTTTCAATCTATAATAAATGTGAGTTAGAGAAAAGAATCATATTTTCATCTCAATCTTTAATAAGCAGTATAAATGTGCTAATTATTTATTTAAAACCTTTTTTTTTGTTATGTTTGCTTTTCGAATCATATATTTTGTACAGTATGAAAATAAAATTCTTACTTTAAGTAAATTATCACGAGTAGTCGGATACTGTGTCTCTGTAGCTGGAATCATATCTAAGTCTTCTACGTATTCCATCAACAAGGCTATGCTTTCATCAATATCCTTTGATGATCTGATGATAATTTATTCATAAATTGTTAGCTTTTGAAATTGCAGTTACAATACTTGGAAGCAATCTGTGATTACGATAATTTATAGTTACAGTAATAATTTTAATTTAAATTTTCTCTGTTATATGGAGTGATTTAAGATTGTTTATCTCTTTTCTTTTCTGTATGTTCATTTTGGCGTTAAAGAATAAAATTATTTATTACTGTAAACTCTGTTTATCGAACAAGCGATCTACGCCTTCAGTTTTATGCAGCATTTCTTCTCCATAAATACCATCGCAATCAGCCTGCACCAAAGAATACAATAATATATCCAAAATTAATATTATTAATTGCTATTCAGAAAGCAAAATAATAGTATTAATCAATATTTAATGACAAATTTGATTGTCAATCTAAACAAAACTATTAATAGCAATAATACAAAATAAAACGCACAAGTGCATTCAGTGAAGAATAATTAAGATCATCGGAAGTGCCAGGAGATTCAGTGGAAGTAATAATGATTAACTCATCACTATGCTGATCTTCTGTAGGTGATTCGTTGATCCAGTCAAACGAACTTGACCTGGACAAGGAACATGGACTTGTCTGAGTACCTGTCTCCTATAAACTAAATCATTTTTTCTAGGTCAAAAATACTCTCTGGATGGTTTTTCTAAACCAAGAATACCTTCAAAATCATTTTTAGATCAAAATTAATTCTTATCTTGCATTATTCGTCAATGTATTTACTAGATAATTTTGAAGAAGGATAAAGTTTCTATCAAATATCTGCAATTACCCACTCTCTTATTTAATTTTTTTCCTTCTCTTTTTTGAAGCAACAAAAAAGGAGTTTATTTCTGCAAAAAAAAAAGCAATTTTCAGATTTTTAATTTTCATAAAAAATATAAAACTAAAAAATTTCGCAAAACTGATCACATATTTTGCGACGTTAGAAAAAATTAAAATGTAAAACGAACGATTGATGCAGTGATAAAATAAAAAAAAATAAACAAAAATGTGCGCAAAAATTCATGAAAAATTTTTTATTTCACTTTTTGCAACAGAAAATTGCGGCAGAAATATGCAAACAACGACAAAGCCACGTAAGTACTTAAATGCAAACAAATATTTAAGCAAGAATAAATAAATACTTTTTTGATTAAAAAATCAAAATTTAATCACACTTAATAGAGCGTTTGAAAAAAAAATGACTTAATAAAGCGCAAGCACAAAAAGGCATATTTCACTTATTTTATGCTTGAATTATTAGCTAAACAACGAGCAAATACTTGAATAAATAATATTTTTACAAGCAATTGCAAAAAAGTAAGCAGAAAAAGGAATAATCTATTCTGCGCATCACACAAACTAAACAGTTAAGCAAAGTCATTGTGCAATATTTATTTAATAAATTATTACTAAACATTTTGCGCTTTAATTTCATTAAAGCGTTTAATCTCATCAATTTTTTCATTCCACTTTTACTTTTGCTTCAGTCAAGACCGTAATATACTCTCTCTTGCGTATAAGTTATTACCAATTCTGGTTATTAGCGAAAAAAAAAACGCTCCCAACCAAATTAATCATTGCACTGAACGTAATAATGCACAATTAAGTCTATTCACGTTAAAATTTTGCATGCATATCAAAATTAATAAATGTTTCACGGAATTAAGAAACAAAGTCAAAAGCAGTCATTTTGAAAGAAATGAAGCGAATTTTAAGAATTTGCAAAGAGCTTGCAATTTACATCATTAATCTTAAAGAAAGAGTCAAGTTTCAAAGAACTGAGAAATTATTTCAAAACAACTCTAAACTTTTTCATTTCTTATTGAGAATAAGCAGTTTGAAGTGACCTTTTGACCTTGTTTTTTATTGTAATACTTTTGCTGCTAAATAGATCACCAAAAATATGATATTCTAATTGCTCTGAAATGATACAAACTTTTAACAGCGACGAGAAATAAAATAATTACAAGTTTGTACCTGTTGTGATATAGATGAAAAAGCAGAAGTAGTAATAGTAGCAGTAGTAGCAGTAGTAGCAATAGTAGTAGTAGAAGTTGTAGCAGTAGTAGTAGCAGTTGTAGCAGTAGTAGTGATAGGAGCAAGTAAATTAGATCTAGTACAAGATGATAAATCTAATGAGTCCGGTTTGTCAATTGCGTGGAATCGACTTTGTTCAGCTGCGCGAATTAATGAAGCTACAATTCGTTGCACTGTTCGACCACTTTCATTTGAACTTTTGACCTCTGCTAGAGGTGCGGTTGATCTTTGTTCATCAACTGATCCAACAGCTGTTGCCATTGATAATGGAAAAGTTAATGCACTGATGTCATTGATATGGTTTGCTGATTCTGATTCTTCTTTAGCAATAATCTTCGTAGCAGCGCTACTATCCAGTAATTCTTCCATTTTTGCATCACAACATTTAGCCTCAAAAAATTTGCCGTAATTTTTCTTCTTCAGCAATTAATTTTATGAGGAAAAGCATGATTGTATCACATAATTAATCACTTTCTTGAAATAAATTTGTACGGTTTTTCCTGCTTGACAGTTTATTAACTTTTATCCAAAAGATTACAAAAAAATATGCATTTTCTTAAATATACATATATATATACCATTCACTTTAGGTAAATGATTATAAATTAGTATTGTCTTGAATACTTAGTTTAAATAATTCAATTAAAAATTTTTGGATATTACCGCAGAGTAATGAAAAACAAAAAAGTGAGGAGAGGATTTAGTATTCATCAATTAGTAAAATTAAAATAGAGGTTCTTCAACTGCTAAAGTAACTACCTAATAAATGTAACAAAATACAATCTACAATATAGTTGCATCTGAATTGATGCGGAACTAAATAAAGTCAAGAATTTACGGTAGAAGTAACAAAAATAAAAATTTTTTCGAAGTGTCTATCACTGCAAACTATATTAGATCCTGAATAAAAACTCTATAGATAGTCATAGGTTTCAAACAAATTTACAAAAGCGTCTTCAAAAAACGCCATTTTTTCTGTTTTACAGAATTCAATAATATCTTAGTGGCAATGTACAACTCTATTATGTGATATGCAAATAACGAGTTATAAAATAGCTCCAATACTATACTACTATAAATAATTATCAAATATTGCATACACAAACTTTGAAAGAAAGTATAAATAATCAATGATGGATACAAATTAATAAGCATTACATGAATTATTAGTTAAGAAGACTAATGTAATTTGCAATGATCAATCTATACTTGGATAACTCAGTCTATTTACATAACTGTAAGATGATTGGGAGCTAAGTTAGTAATTAATATAAATGTTTACTAAAATGAAGCAATAAAAAAGTAATCTAACTCAGACAACGCTAATTAATGACTTAATTAATTGAATACTAAAGTAAAGCAAACTTTTCTATCTAAACTTTAATTATTGAATTTATTTTCAATAAAGAGGTATGATCAGAATAGCAAATGCAAGTGATCTGCAATCAAAACAAAGCAAAGCAATGCTTGATGTGTGAGTGAGTCTTTTTTGCTTGCAAAAG